TGTTTCTAATAGCTTCTTGTTACTACTAGTAAGGCCAGGAGCCCCTAGTAGCTTCTTGCTCCTAGTAGTAAGGCACTTGTTTCTAATAGCTTCTTGTTACTACTAGTAAGGCCAGGAGCCCTAGTAGCTTCTTGCTCCTAGTAGTAAGGCACTTGTTTCTATGCAATTTGTTTATGGTTTGTATTGTCTTCAGTTGACACCGGGACCAGGATGTACCCAGTCAACAGGACGCACGAACAAGGGACCCAGTCCACAATCAGTGACGTGAACAGTGATCTCAGTGCATCCCTGATCCGGAAAAAGTGATCTCAGTGACTTGCCACCCGGATCTGCTCGTGAGGCCTCTTCTGCTGGCAGGGAGCCTTCGTCAGAACTTGGATCCAGAGGCAGATCAGTCATGCCGGAAGCGGTAGATCGGGGCATCAACATCTTGTTGCAGCAGTGGCAAACGGGAAATTGCTTCAGTCGCTCGGGAATTGAACGTGTTGGCACAAGTGTCGTCGAGTCGGGGGATTGTCAAAAGCATTCCAATGAGTCAAGGAATAATGATTTTGAGTGCAGTCCCCAAGCTCGCAATATACAGGATCAGTTGTCATCATCAAGTTGAAAGGGCGCCAGTGCAGTCTCTGAGCCACTGCATCTCTAATGTGTTCCTTTGGGCCTTTGGGGGTTCCTGCATTTTGCTGGGTTTCTATGTTGTGTTCAGCCTTGCATCAGAAGATCGTTACCGGGAAGTAACGGACTTGGTGATGAGGATGGCTGCGTCCTGCTCACCGAGGTGAGTACATGTTCTACACGTCAGAGTTTTGACTATACAAGTGGAAAAGTGGAAACGATTCAAGTGGCCCTCAAATCCAGGACTGAAGTTGGCTGAAGTTGGTATGACGGATTAGGATCGTGTTTTGGAGTGGAAATGACTGGGGGGGTGTTTCCATCGATTCCATCGTCGACGTATGGGAATGGCAGGGCGAAGTTGGGAACGGAGACCAGGCGCCGGCGACCAGCGTCGGGTGCCGCGGGGTGACGGTGGGCATGGTCTGCGGGGTTTGTCAACCTGGTTTGACACATCTCCACATGGCGTCAACAGAAAGTCGTGGTGCATGATGAATGTTGTCGGATGCTCAAGGTATATGCAGTGTATGACGGGTCGAATAGTTATTTGGCACTGTTTGCAACTATTGGATAGGTGGCGCAGCATTGGCTTACAGTGACTTACCAGCTTAATGTTGGATCCTGATTAGTAAACGGGATTCCCCCCGGAACAAATGGGAGGGCCTCCATAATACACTACCACCAAAACAATCTGGGCTCCTGGGAGGATTCCTTTTGTAATTTATTGTAGTATTCATTTTCCTTTCTCAGGATCTTTGTAGATATTCTCAGCTATCCTTCTATAATATTTTATACTACTAAGAAGAGTACAAAGAAGGTTCTCAGGTTCTCTGCGGCTTTGAAGAAGAACTAGAGAAACCTATACTTATCAATATTATCAGCAAACCAGCCATTGGCTTAGTAGAATAAACACATCTTACTATATAAGTTTTATATTTTTTCCGAGAAACACCTTTGCACAATTGAGGACCCTTAAAACACCTTTATTATTGACGATCAGAGGCCTTCCTGGTCTACTACCTTGAACATTTGATTAGGAGCAATCTTTACATGAAGGATTGACTAAGGAATTGATGGCTTTGAAGCCTATACTTATCAATAATCTCAGCAAGCCAGTCATTGGCTTAGTAGTACTCACAGATCTCCGAAGTACTTAAACCACTATATATATATAGTTATTTTTCAGATAACAAAAAGTTAAGATCCCACCCAACAATTAGTAAAATAGGGACCTTAAACTAACCTGAGGGTCAGACATATTGTTGAAACTTTTAGCGTTATAGAGGGCCTGTTTACTAATCAGGATCCAACATTCTCCGTCCTTCCCTGAGATGCTTTGTCACGCACTTCTCGAAAGAGTGCCATTACTGCTCAACTTATACATATTTATTTAGTTAATAATTAAATAATTGTAGTCTTTATGCTGTTCCATTGTAAGCTCAGGTGTGTTGGAATTATCTTTTTATCATTTGGGAATTGTCTAATTCATGTGCCGTCGGTGAGGCCATCTAACCTGTGAGTTCCTCACCAAACGGCTGATTTTGTGTCTGACAGGCTGCCTCAGATGCTATGCTGTGGGAGGCCATGTGACACAGGTGTTGTTATGATGTGTTTCTATCATTGTGTTGTTATGATAACTATCATTGAACTTTCATCAGGTCACTCTAGCATTGCCTTGGAGACTCGTGCTGAATTATACATATATTTATCCTGATTCTTGAGAAGCAGTCTGGCACAGTAGAAACCTTTCTTCCGGGGACTCTGTGGCTGGGCATCAGGACCGAAAACGCAAATTCTGTGGCTGGCGTCCGATGGCGACATTTGATCATGTTTTGACTGAAAGTTGCCAAAATTGCTGATGCGTGCTGATGCCCTTGCTCTTTTCATTGCTCTCGAAATTGATCACTTCTATGCCAAAGGCTCTGCCGGAGAGGCTCTGCCGGGTCTACTGTGCATGGCGCGTGCCTGCGAGACCAAAGGCTCTGCCCCAGCGACGTCCCGAGGAACCCATCCAAATGTGTCGAGGTCAGCTGGGTTCCTGAGAAAACACTTAGCAACACAAGTCTTGCAAAACAAAACAACCAAAGAAGAAGCACTCGCAAAATGCCAATTGATCCGTTATCCTTCACAGTTTCTCAGGGATGCAACTTCGGCATTCTGCCTCTTGAGAAAGCACTAAAGAGTCATGGAGACCCTTCTGCTCCTCTTCCGGTCATATGGTTGCCCTTTGTAGGCTTGCATACGCAGTTATCCACAACAGTAAGGTAGACTCCACCACAGCAAAAAGATTTGCGTCCTCCTGTCGTAAAGTACCGGCTAACTTGAGTCTTCGGCGTGTTCTGTCGCAGTGCCCTACTGTTCAGCATCAACTTTCATCATTGTCACGCCGTTGGGGATTGCTCAAAGCATATCCTGATTGTGCACCAGCAACCAAGATCTGGCTTCATTGTCCGGAGGAGGTGACAAAGGCCACACCCCTGACTCCTGACGTTTAAAGCAAGCATGCCTTCCTTTCACATTGAGAGGCAAACTGCAATGATCACTAATGCCAAATCACCAAGTCCCCAGCCGTGACGAACGTGAGTGACGTGAGACATCGTGAGACATTGCCCACTAAACATTTGCATTTCCCTGCTGATGCCATTCGATATAATGGTCATGCTCTATCATGGCCATCAGGGTTATTTGTAGACATTGGGATACTCCATGCAGATGCCCTGGATCTGGATTCTCCACACAGGCAGGTTTTGGGCCAGTGGCCTCCTCGATGTTTCGCCAGGCTTTACGGCTCGTCGGTCTGGAGACTCGTCTCAAGCGACGGCCGGAGGCGGGGCGGGGGGGAAGGAGGCGTTGCGGCGAATTGGAATCTGTGCCCTGTCGCGGGGTGTGAGGTGGAGCAAATACGAGAGCCGTGGCAGGAACTATTGGAATCTAACTTTAGAACAAAGTAGATCTGCGTAGACGAACAGAGTGTGTAAAATTGTTGCTACAGAAAGACTTCTAAAGTGGCGGGGCATTTGCGGGCATTTGCCGACTTCATGGTGTGATGCTTTCCACTTTCGGTCTTAGACGGAGTTAGGCAGGTGGCAACAGTTAGAAGCAGAATATACCATATGAATATTGACATACATGAATGCGTGTAATTTGTAACACAGGATGAGAAAGGTGATTGGTGAAACATCGAGATGCTGAGGTGGTTTGTCAAAAAGCCTCAAACATGTAGCCATGCAGGGATCAACGAAGCCTTAGGGATGACATCATCAGCACAGTTATACAGTTGTTATGTTCATTGTATTTGAACGCTTCAATATATATATATATATTTGTGAGTCCCAAAAAGATGTTTGTTTGTCGGAAACTAAATTGGTCTAATGACTGGGCAGTCATGGGTGATAAGAGAGGATAGGACAGGATACGGATGTTGACCTCAACCAAATCCAAAAGATACCTGGCTATTGAGCTATATTTTACATTTGTTTATATATTATATGTTACTCTTTATATTTAAAATTTGTATTTGTTATAGTACCATACCTCCGGAGGTTCGTATCGCCGCTGAATCAACCGTAGGCCTCGGCCGCCTCGGCCTCACCGTCTTCCTGGGGTGCATCGGGTCATTCTTCAGGCCAAGCCAAGCAGACTTTTGTCTCACCAGATGTTCCTGTTTCGGAGATGTATATATGACATGCAGCAAGTTTATAGGTGGCATGAGAGAAAAATACACAACAAGCAGCAAACTGTGCGCCAGGTGAGTATACTTAAGTAGCGTAGCTCATTTGTAAATAGTGGCAGCTGTTGCTGTTGCCAAGAAGTCTTTGCATACTCGCTTGATGGATGGCTCAAATTTCAGGAGCAAGACGCTCAAAGTGATTTTTACACGAACTTTTTGATTTGACAGCGCCGGCCCTATGGCTTATCCCTTGAATTGTCGAAGGACCTTTCTTGACATGGAAGACATTCCCAAAGTGCACAATCGGTCCCGATATGCAAGTGAGCCTCCTCCAGCCAGGCGTGATGAAGAGAATGGAGCGATCAAGGAGCAGATGCAGAACGAGAAGTATGCAGGCGAGCTTCCCATGCGTGCCCTGAACAAGGAGTTTTTGGTTTCTAAAGAAGCTCAGATTCGCTCAAGTGAAGGAAGCAGAGGCCACCCAGATCTTTGTAAGCGCCCTTGCATCATCTTCGCCAAGACCGGCACTTGTCAGCAAGGTTCGGACTGCGCCTTTTGTCACTTTGCGCATCCCAACCGCTCTGTGCTGGACAAGCGGCAACGCTTGACGATCCGCACATTGAACGAAGCTCAGAAATGGACTTTGACCCTGCCATATCTCGCAGCAAAGCTAGAGACATGGAAGGCCAAAGAACACGATGCGACCAGTGTGCTCGCCTTAATTGAGGCACGCCTGGCAGTGTTGCAGAGCTCCGGGATGTGTGGTGAAGTGAGCCCCAAGGTGGTGAAGTTGGTGGATGCTTCTTTGGTCAGTATCAACTTCGGAGCCATCTTGAGCTTGGTTCTTTCCAGTGAAGATCTTAACACCGTGAGCCACATTCGGCAGGCGGTCAGCAGCGTCATCGCAAGTGGCCAACAGATGCTTTGAGAACTGGACCTTGACATCCACGAGTGGGAAAGACGGCTCGTGTATGATCAGATCACGAGAAGAGGTCTAGCATGGCCCAGCCATGTCCAGCTTTGTCTTGAAGTTGCTCTTGATGATGGACTTTCGTGGACTTTCTGAGTTGACCCGTTTAATGTCAGCTTGCTGGCTGTGCAGGAAGAGCTGCACAGAGATAGGTCACGACTCAAGAATTTTGACCCACGTGACATGAGGTTCATCAGCAATTCTTTTGCATAGACGGGGGCGTTTCGGAGTTGGTATTCTTGAGTATATAACTATACCATCATGACCTTGATGTTCCAATGCTTCTCCCGGAGCTAGAGACTTGATTTTTGATGATTTTGTTCAACGAGCACACCACCACAACAGCAATGTGCAACACCAATCTGCCGTCTTCCAATCTGCCGTCTCCGGGCGAAGCTCGCTCCAAACAGCGAGTTGCGTACTGAATCGACCGTATTTTTTGCTTTCGACAAGCAGCTTCGAAGCAAGCGACCGGAAGAAAACAACCATGCGAAGCCGTGCGAATGCAGCACTTGTTGTGCAACAGGAGTATTTTTTTTCGAGGAGTACTAAGATGTACCAAGTACGTTCCGTTCTGCGTCTTCTTCAGGCTGACAAAGTGGGTAAAGTAGGATGATGGAAGATGTCATCCAAGAACATACGTATTCTATCGTATTCTCTTTTGTTTTGTCATGTTTTGTCTCCAAGACCTTTCGTCTTGGCAGTTTCCGATGAAGAGAGAGATCTTCCCGATCAGCGGAGTCTTGGCTGGGATGGAGCGACCAGGTCTTGGCTGGGATGGAGCAACCAGGTCTTGGGCTGGGATCTGTTGAAGCTACCTCCTGGAAACACAAAAATGGATGAGGTTTGCTTCGAAGACACTCGAGCTTCGCGCCCGACGCTTGGCTGAGCTCTCGAGCTAAACGGTGCCTGGCTCTTCCATCCAGTTGCCTCTTTGGTCCATGTCGCTGGTCCATCTCTTTGGCTCAGGAGGTGTTCAGGCCTCGATGTGGAGCTTGACTTGGATGTTGATGATAGGCCATCCAACGAACCCAAGGCAGGGACTGGGTGGGATGCAGTGGTTTCGCAAGGCTGGAAAGTGGGTGGTCTCAGTGTGAGTTGGCTGTTTGCCTTAAGACATGTTTTCATAAAACATTAAACCTAAGAAGAACGCCAAGAGACAAAAGCCTAATTTGCTGTTGTGGTTCGGATGTATTTACTTTGCGCAAATGCATTCAATGAACAAATGGCGGGTTCGGTCGCCCAATGCATCGTTTGTGAGGTGCCAGATGCATCGCCACAACTTCAGCGTTTCGGCGCCCAGGATGTCGCGCGCGATCGGAGTGACTGGGAGTGGGAGGTTTCCCACGCGATCCGTTCGCACCCAGAAAGCGTCCCCAATCTCAGGAAAACCATGGCGTTGATCTTTGGGTGACTTCATCATTGACCTTTGGGGTGTACAAGATGAGTGTGTCGTTGAACAAGGTCTTACACATGAACGGAATACACAGTGATTGGTTTAGCATTTTGTATTGGTATACCATCCTGAGAGAATGGGTCAGACATTAAAGAGACGCAGGCTGCAACCTCTTCGATTGATAACTTTTAGCAGAAAGGATGAAGCCTTTGCATTTACAGAGTACAGGCTTCTTGAACAATAAGCAAGACACTTCTAACGCAGACGCAGACTAGACTGATTATATAAACTTTAGGGCGGGAAGATGTTTTGAAGAAGATTACATGGGAGTGAGTGGAATGATACTCGATACTGTACTTGCTGAAAACAAGACACATTTACCTGAGACCTGAGAAGACTTGTAGAAAGCAGGAATGGAACATAATGGAACATTGCACCCAGAAGGAGAGAATGGCATGATAAAGGAATCGTTTGGATTGGGTAGGATGTTTGTATGAAATCACGGATGCAGCACAGCAAGCATTTACGAAGGTGAACGGACTTTTAACTGATGACTTAGACTTTCAACAGGAGCGAGAAATGTGTGTATTACTATAATATATTAGAATAAAAACACGGTTCCTTCTCGGAAGATCCTTATAATGACAAACTTTTCAAGTAGTCCTATCGTGTTCTATCTATATAGCATAATTATACATACTGTAGATTCAAGCAAAATATCTTTCAGACAAGAGGAGGAAATTTGAGAACCACAAACTAAATTCTGTCTGAAGGAGATGACAATGCAATCATTTTTTGGACTTATATAAATTACCAGTCGACAGGAAGACTTGAGAAGTGGAGATGATAATGCAGGAAAGACATCCTGTGATCCATGAAAAAGACGCCATTCTCTTATGGGGGGCCTCTTTTCCTCAGGTGGCATGCTTTGATAGTTGAAAGCACAGGGAGCTGCCTCTAATGTATAAAATTCGGGAACAATTCATCCTAAAAGTTGGCCTTTGAAAAACATACAGTGTTGATGAAATGCACAAACTTCCTTCATCCAACGTGATTGACTTTAATATGTCACAAAAACAACAAATGTCTCAGTGTTCCCTCTGCAAATCGCACCTGTGTTCCTTGGCGGTGGTCGCTGGCCTGAGGGAATGGCGCATCTTTGTCGCGCATCCACGAGGAGCGGACCTCGTCCTGCACAGCAACACGGGCTTTGGGCAATAAGAGCTTTTGTGAAGCAACAGCCTTTTTAAGGGCCTCAAGGAGAAGGCTTTAATTAGGCTTGGGAATCACATCTTGACCAGTCAAGGAGGCAAGGTGAGGTTCCAAAACATCCCGGGAGGTTCCGCGCGGGGGAGTCGTCTTGACCACTTCCATGACATTTCTTGGACTCGCGAGGAGCGTCAGTCTGGCTATACCTCGGAGGACTTGCCCGACAGAACTTGCTCAAGCCAGGAGACCAGGAGAACTGGCCGAACTACCCAAGAGAACTAGGATGAACCAGTAACCCAGTCGGCACTCGGATCTTTGTTTTGGAGATGAAACCCATGTTGCACAATTTTGATCGATTTTGAACGCGTTTCTTCTTTGAAAGTATATTTCCCCAAACAGTGTGTCCAGTCCACACTAGGGGTTCTGTTAAGAACGGGTGTTTGATCGGAGGTGCTCATCGGAGTGTCTGGCTATTTCGCTGCTAATTACAGTACATTCATTCACGTCCGTAGTCATTTTGGCTCAAGTTCAGGGCTCCATGGTTGGTGTCTCGTGTGCCCGCACGAGGCCAGCCTAGGTGGGTAGCCCTAGCGGGATGCTTCACTTGCCATGGTGGAACGCCCGCGCATCTTTGAGCATCTACGTTCTGAATTGCCTGGATCGAACTGTTGCTCTCGCCGTTGGCTACGTAGACCCTAAGTCCACGTCGAGGGCATGGGTCGACCAGCTGGGCTACTTGGTCACAGCCACCTTCCTGAGTACCTCGATGGAGGTCGGGGTGGATGAGGTGGCCACAGCCGGAAGTGAGGTGGCAACCCTTTTTGCACTTTGAGCGCGGCATAGTGGCAAGGAAAGACGTGGCCGCTAACTTGCTGTTGTTCCATGTGAAGGCTTGGGTTGTGTACGCCTGTGGGGTGTCAGGAGATGCCAGAGTACCAGCGCTCTTGTCGCGTCTCTTTGCCCCTTCAGCGTGGTGAGTTGCGTGAATGGCTGCTCCGGATGTGGCGTGAGTGGCTTGATGCAGCCTTGTCTCCCGTCCTCTGTGGTTTGCAACTGGTGTGCAACTCGGTTGGCTGGCAGCTGGACCGCTCAAAACGGTACAGTTGCGGCCTTTCTTCACCTCCTACTGCCATTTTGGCCGGAGGTTGAATTGAAGGTAGAATTCAGCTTTTGACGTGTCCCGCCTAAGTGGCTTTTGGATACGGTGCAAGCCTCATGCATGCGAAGCCAAGACCAAGAGCCACAAGGCTCAGTACTCGCGAAAAGAAAAAACATTCAAGATCTTCGAAGTGCATTTCGACTGCGCAGGCTCGCAGAACCCGCTGGGCCCGAGCGGGTGCTCTTCGAGACTGCGCTCTCGTTGTGGCGCCGTGCGCATTTTTGGACTTGGTGATCACTTGTCGTGGCAGGCGCAACCTCGTGTTTTGGTGGTCTAAAGTCGACTTTTCGTGTTAGGCGCTGGAGATCGGAGCGGCTTTACGTCGATGTACAGATTTTGTGACAGGCGCAGGCACAGTATTTTGTGCACCTTGAAGTGCAGACTTCCTGGCAGGCGCGCTACTCTGCGGACAGATTTCGTGTCAGTCGCGGTACTCTGTGGACCTTGAAGCGTAGAGCTCGTGACTCATATGGTTTCTCAGACATCTCTCTTCACGTCCAGACCTCCAGAACTCTGGACCTAGACCTTCACCACCACCATCATTACCACCATCACCACCACCACCATCATCACCACCACCATCACCACCACCCTCACCACCATCACCGCCACCACCACCACCACCACCGCCATCACCACCACCACCACCATCAACAACATCATCAGTCATCATCATCATCATCACCATCGCCATCACCACCACCATCATCACCACCATCAACATCATCACCTCTCTCTTGAGCCCAGTGTGTCTAGATCTCTAGATATCTCTAGACTAGAACTTCTGCTTCTACACCTCAGACTCTAGACCTTAGACCTTTAGACACACTGTTTGGGGTCTCGTGCCGGGACTTTTTTTGACAAATGGGTGATGTCTAAGACACCTCACTTTACCCCCAAGATGGGAAGATTGGCCCAGTGGGACCGCCAAATTCGTGGAGTTCGCCGCTCGAGGCCAACCCCGAGACTCTCCTAACTCCCGGAGGACTCCGAGGAGTCGAAGAGCGGTGGAACAGGTCGAAGCAATCCCGGTTTTTGCAATTTGGTCCTGGAGTGAAATTGAACTACAGATTCTATACAGTAAATTGTGAAAGAACACAATCGCAAGATGCAAGATTCAGACACTGGAACCGACAAACAGGATTGTTTTCCGACAAGGGTGGCTTGCAAAACTCACACATTTATAATATGTAGAAAACCAGGGGATCCCTTGCCAACCAGCAGAGTCCAGTTTGGACGCCGGCCATTTGCGGAGTTTTTGGCAACAGCAGAGGGATTCCTTCTGAGGAAGAGGATTCCATTCAGGTGTTCAAGCAATCCTGTGACATGTGGATACCTTGTTTGTATACTGTAGGCTCGAGTCTTGGCAAAGTACATGATCGTGACAATCGCGCCTTGTGGAGTAGGTTTCAACATTGTTCGTAAAGTTTGTCCTTGTTTACAGTTGTGAAGGGCTTTTAACCCTGTTTGGTAGGAAATTGCAGCTGTCTGGGAGCCAGCGAAGGCAGGGGCGGGATCCTCGCAGGAGTCGTGGACAACAGTGGACAATGCAAATTATGAAAAGGATGTCCATGAACACTTTATTTCCCCTTTCAGAATTCGCAGTTGGATCCACTATTGAACTGAAAGTAGTATGCATTCGGTCTTGAGGCATGCATGTCGCTCGTCCTCCCACTGTTAGAGGGAGAAACTTGCTGGGCGGTGAACCTTTGGAATCATTTCCTGCTCTTCAGAACTTCATTCATGTTCATCTCATTTCCAAGTTTGTAGGTCGTCCAAATCTGGACTCATCGAACTAAATCTTGGACTCTGCCAGAAACATATAATTGCTTACTCAATATCTAAATGTATCTAGGAAATCGATTGTCGCCCTCTTTGCTTGGGCGCTAAACTGGTTTGCTACAGTAACTGCTACATCCGCACAGGCTCTTGGTGTTAGCCCGTCTCTTGCTGCACCGACGAAGAGCTCGGCTCGTCTTGCTCGACGAGGTCGCAAAAGCTCGGCGGCTTTTCCGGTGATGATGCGTTCTTCATAGAATCGTTGCCAGAGATGAGCCATGTCTAATTATGTAGTTGTACACATGAGACCCCAATTATATATATATATATTAATAGGTGCGCATAGTGGGGATTCACCAGTCTGATCAACTGGGGTGATTCACAGATGAAGCCTCTAGAGTCATGGGCATGAATTGCTCTACTTGCTTGGGATACGTTGCCCACACCGCTCAGCCCTTCGCTGGAATGGAGCAGAACGAGGCTGGACGCGGACGCGGTGTTTGATATTCGCTTGCAGGCTGGCCCTTTTCGTAGGGAGCAGGCAAGCGTTTTGGCGAGTGCCACCGCTCCATCAGTGCAGCTTGTGAAGATTTGTGAAACGATAGAGTGCCATCAACCAACCAGCACGTTTCTTTTGACAACAAGAGTCACATTGACAATTCACCCTATGAGGGGGCTTCACTGCATTCCAACAAGAGTTACCAGTACAGGCTGATTCAAAAAATCAAGCGACCCCCAAGTCACACCAGATTACACACCACCTAGCTGTGTCTGCAAGTAGGAGTACCTCCATGTACCCCCAGAAGAGTTTAGCAGAGGGAAAATAGAAGAAGCTTCCATGGCTGGGAGTTCTTCCAAATGACTATTTACTGTATACCAACCCATATTGGCCCCCCTCCTGACCCCTGGCAGCCCCTGGCACCAGGTCACGCCGCTTCACAGCATGCTGAAAAAGCAGCTGGGCCATGCGGCCATGCTGGTGGTCACCCATAGGCAGAAGCGAAGAAGAAAAGACCACCGGTGCTGCATGGAGTCCCAGAGGATCCTACAAAGATTGGTATATTGTAACTGGTATATACTCAAAATGAAGCTTCTCATGATTGCCCACATGGATTCTTGATCCTTTCTTGGCCAGGTATCAGTTTTCGGTGCCCAATTCGGAGAATTCAGCTGTCACCAGACATCAAAAGCTGAGGTTTGACATCAAACGTGAGGTACGTTGGAGTCAGACAAACCAATGGGTGCCGACTCCGTGACGCCAAAGACATCATGACTTCCGGCTTCGAGGGATGTGTCCGAAAGCTTCCAAACTCTTCGCTTTGGGCTCTTGAGACATCCAAAGTGTAGTCTTCCGGTACACACGGTACCATCTTTAACGTATCATCCACAAAGAATGCTGCCCAAGTCGCTGGAGGCTGCACTACGACTTCAAGAAAAAACTCGTCAAAAAGAGATGGAGATGAGTCTAGGATATCCAGGTCAATCATGTCCACAGGGGTTCTTACCTATAGATCCATCAAACGCGTGAGGCTTCTCCCAGTGCTTCATTTCTTCTCTCGCATTCTGGTCTTCGAAGAGGGTCGGTGCGTACAGGAGCGCTGATGTTTCCTACTTCATTGTACAGTATATGTTGCCCAAATAGGTCAATTGGCCAGTGAAATATGTGAGCTTTGCTAAGGCAGGCAAGGCTAGGCAAGCCTAATTGTGTAGTGATGATGCCTGAATTTGCGATTCTGATGGTTGTTGCTCTAGGATGCGCCACCTGCAGCAGCTTTAGCAGATGACGGTCACCTTCGGCAACTCTTCTTGCAGGTGTGTCACTCAGAGGATGTCGCCTTCTGAGAAAGTTCAGCTGGTTGATTACAATGAAAATTCCGATATGGTTCAGTGCCAGCTGGACTGCAAGTTGGGCAAAACGGTGTGCTCAGGAAATCCAGAATCTTGATCTCCTCAAAACGGGCTGAGTTAATTGTGCATGAAGTGCGACAGTTTGAGCATTTACTGGTACAAGAGATTAAATTCATGGGTAAGGAAGGCAAGCTACTTGACTAGAGTGACTAGACTAAATACTTTAAAAGCAATTGGTGCACATCCACTGTCATCCACCCTGTTTCGGGCATACCGTCTTCAAGAACTGGCTGTTCAGGCTCCGAGCCGACTCCAGGGGCATGTGGAGCGCATGTTGGCGTTGAGACGATCAGAGGCGGACGGAGTGGACCAGTGGGGACCAAAGATATGTAACAGGATGGGCGATCGAGAAAGTATGGTCAATTTCATTCAATGGCATATTCGGACATTTGGCTTGTAATAGGTTGTACAGTAGACACTTCTGAAATCGAGCAAACTGGTGGGCATAGGTATCAAAAAAAATAAAAAGAGCATCAAACAAAAAATAAAAACAGGATAAAAAAAAGCGAATCAAAAAATAAATATTCCTTGATAGGCCTCTTCTGCTGCTCTCCTGGCCTTGTGGTCTGCGGGTCCTCTGGTAATGTGGTCCCTTGGTCCTCTGGTCCTTTGGTCCCCTGGTCCCTTGGTCCTTTAGTCCACTGGTCCCCTAGTCCTCCGGTCTCCTGGTCCTCTGGTCCTGTGGTCCGCTGGTCCTAGTTCTTCTGTCTCCGAGCGCTCTGACAACGCCATGTAGGGCCTAACTTCGTGTGAACGCCGTGACTACTGCTACTGCTACCACTACTACTACTACTACTCCTGCTGCTGCTGCTGCTGGCTCTGGTGCTGCTGCTGCTGCTGCTGCTACTGCTACTGCTACTGCTACTACTACTACCCCAACCATCCTCAGTGGGCTAGAATATTACTTTTTGATTACCTTTTTATTTTTTTATTGATCCCCGTTGAATATTTTCTTTTTTTAATTCTATTTTTTTATTTTGATCCCTTACCCAAACTGGTGTGGTCGAGATCCGATGACAATGTCCTTAGCGTAGCAGGTGACTTTGCGATGACTTACGCTTGGCTGATGTTCCTTTTGCTAGATATCTACTTTAAAGCTGGATAGGTTCTTGCAGAGGAGCTTTTTTGCAAAGCAAACCATGGCTGTTCTCACTGAATTGGTTGACGCATGTAAGGGAGGCACCGTAGTTCTGTACATAGACCATCATAGACCTGTTGTTCTTCCACGTGCAGTAGTCAGTAGTCAGTGTTCAGGTCCCTGAATCCTCGGTGGGCAAAGGATATGCACCGGGCCTGGGGCATGGTGGGACCTGCATCGCAGAGAAAAGTGTCAGCCTCTCATGCTCTATGGATTGAGGAGGTGGGGGTAGGAATGATTCAAGGAAGGGTATGGGAACTCTCTTCCAATCAAAATAGGCGTGACAGACCAAACATCACAGACCAAATAGCGGAGACCTGGTGGGCACGCGATGCGGCACGCGCCAGGGCCTGCATGCAGTTCATACCTTGCTCCAGTCTGTGAACCTGAGCACTGGACAAAGTGAGCTTGGGGCTCTCAGGGGCAACCGGGACGGCGATCGGGCGTGGAGCAGGCAGCTGGAGAGCTGCATCCACGCCTGGCTTAAGCCGACAACATCTCTGGTTGAATGCCAAGCGTGAAGGGCTGCATGGCATGGCGGTATGCCTTGGATCTTCAGCGAATGCAGGTTCATCCTGGCAGGACTCGGCCAACACCTAAAAAGAAACGCACAAGAACAGCCAACAGCTCCTTTTGGTCCTGATTGGTATGCAGATTCATTTTATGTCTAACCGTTCTAACCATTTGGACAGATCCTCTCTCCAAGGACCCTAGCAGCAACGCGCCCAGTGCCAGTAACTCACTTTTCCCCATCCACGGCGCTTGGTCGCATTCTGCTCCCCAGCGGAGCTGAAGAGAACGCTCAGGCCAGAGCTGATCTTCCAGGCAGGTCTTTGGCCGAACGCAATCATCGGGGGGGTTCAGGTGAACTATCTCTTTCAGGTTTCGCCATGAGAAGCATCCTGCTAATCCTGCAGCTTTCAGGTTTTGGAGTAGTTCCAAACCAGAGACTCAATCTCCAAGCTTTTTAGCGGCTATTAGGTTGGAGGCCATTGCTATTCGGTGGTCTTCGAATGTCTTCGCCTTCGACCCATCTCCGCCACGAGGACGAGGGCGAATCGGCCTCTGCCAGCAGCGAAGCTTAGAGCTGGGATGAAGAGGTCAGGAGCAGGTCCAAGACGATGAGTGGGGCACGGGGGCAGATTTGTAACTTCAAGTCCATGATCGATCTATATCGATCTGATCTTGAGTTAGAGGTCTTGTATCATTTTGTATCAGTTTTGATCAATCAGGACAAAGTGTTGGGACTGATGATATGTTGTGGAAACTATCTCTTCCTAGAAATCATTAGTAATCCCTCTTGCTCATGTTGATTGTGATGTTGTCATATTTGCAGATCCATAACAAGTTATTGAATCTTCGAAGCACCACTGACATGATTAACTCAGTCTTCACTCAATGACGTCAACCCGCACGGAGTCACCACTGAGGTCCCCGGACACCGACGGAGCAAGAAAACAGCGGACACCGGACCTTGCGCGAGTGGGACTGACCGGTGTCCCCGGGACCGGTGGGTGAGGTGTTTCTTCTTGGACAAATCCACGGCTCCTATTGGTCCGACTTTCAAGATGTTTCACATTGTTTCACGATCTTTCAAACTGATAGTAGCGTGGATCTTTCGGGCGATCCACGCTTGGGGGATCTTTACATCTACTGCTTGGAGACGCTAAGTATGGTTGGTTTGGTTTGAAGAATCTGTCTGTCTCAATGAGATATGTATAATTTGATATAATTTGTATAATATGGAGCGAGGATGCGTTAGATCTCAATGTTCTCTTCCAGGACAGTGTGTTTCAAGTGATTTTACTTGATGTTAAACAACATGAGCATGTTGTGTTGGGGACCTAAGCCCGCCATGAATCAAGATCAGTGCCAACTCCTTGAGAGCCAACTCAGTTCCCCACACCGGTCGAAAGCCGAACGCATCCGAATTCGATATCCAGAGCTGGAGTTGGGACCAGTTCTTCGTTGGCCCAGAAAAACAAAAAAAACTGTAACCACGTTCTTCTTTGGGAAAGTGATCCGTGGCTATTCAGTGGCTACTGGGCACATTTGTTCAAAACTTTTGTGGAGAAATCGTGTTGGCCTCCATTCCACTGGCCCGAAAGAGCCACTGCCGTTGTTGCAAGCGGATTCAAGAGCTTGATTTCAGTGGGAAGCAGCAAATCAAGGCCCATACAGCACACATTTGAGTCGTTAGCAACAGAGCAGTTTCTCGCAGGCGCTTCCTAAATTAGTCATGGGCATGGTAGAAGAATGTACAAGACTTGGGTCCAAAGAAATGCATCAGCTATGGGGTGGCAGGTGGCACTTTTTGTTGTGGATGACACTCTTGGCAACTCAAAGCTCTTACGACAGGTTAATTTGATGTTTTCGCTTCAAAGCTGCTATCACCCAAAAAGGCCTGTGAGAATACGTGCTGGAACAATGCTATAGGACCAAAATGCCAAGGTGAGACCGGTGGGATGCACTATGTGATGCCGCAAAGGATGCCATACAAAACGACATGGGGAAACAAGAAACTACTGCAAATGCTTTCCAAAGGACCTGGTGTATCCTTATGTTTGAAGCATGGCAGATGACAGTTGCTCCTCGGCCTCCTCCTTACCCGACTTGGAGCCGGTGGAGCTGGCCCCGCAGCCCGACCACGTCCGTCCCGAGACATCGCAGCACGGTGGTGCGACCGATGGGCCGCACATCTTGAAGCTTCTCACGGGAGATGCGTTGCACGGCCAGAAGGAAGCGGATCCAGCGTCCATCTGGGATGAGGAGATGCGAACCGCAAGTGGTCTCATATGTGTCAAGAGCCTTTGGACGAACCGCAAGGAGGTCATACGAGTTCAGTAATTGATGGCGTATTCTGATTCTGTAATGATATTGGATACGGTCTGATGCACATTCCGAGAGTCCTAAGGAGCGTCAAGACATCATGAATGGGGTTTCTCCACTGCTGAAGGGCTTCAATCTAGGAGACCGATTCCTCCTGTTCATCGCACACCCTGCATACATCTGGCTAGATCTAGATTGTGCATCCTGAAGATCAGGAGCCTCAAGCTGCTTTCAGCCATTGGGAGACCGAAGTCAAGGAGGAGACCCGACGGCTCATGGCCCAAACCTGTCCGGATGAGCTTTGCGAGAGTGAGCTTTACGGCTATCCCAAATGGCCGCCGGAGATGATGCTCGCCTGCCACTGCTTTGTAAGACCGAAAAACACTGACAACACGCTTACTGTAAAAGGACGTAAAAGGTAGGAAGCCTTTGAGGTTAAGAACTCCACTTGTTCTAATGACTTGAAGTTTTTGACTTCCCATGCCAACCCTGTCCTGTTCATGTCTGTGCGAGGGGGTGACTGAGACAAACTGCTGTACTACTTGAATGCGGATTCCCACTCTCCCAGCCCTCCTAGAGGTTTGGTACTATTGGAATGAACCACAGATCTGAAGCTCGCGAACATTGGGGTCCACAATTTGTTGTTACTGTATAATATTTGCATATTTGTTTTCATCAATTTGAACCTGAATGCTTTTGGAACCCGTCCTCTTTCCTGTCTCCGTACTCGGAATTGGAATTCATTTGAGGTTCACATGGGGGAAGTTTCCCCCAGTGAAGCGACGGCTTCGTCGCTCCCGTCCGTCGAGTCGTCGAGGAAAGATCCGCAGTACTTCCGGAACGAGCTGATGAAGATGAGAAATGACCCCCGTCAGAATCCGAACCATGGGCGCTCCATGGAGGACCAAGAGTTTTGGAATGAGGTCGGGCCAAAAGCATCCAAAGGAAAAAGCATGAACAAAATGAGCATGTAGCAATGTAGCATGGATTTGTTGTTTTGAAGATTTTGAAGCTTGGCAGTCCAGCGACTGCCACATGTTCCCTTGACTCAGCGACCGACTCCGTCCATTGACGACCGGACCGGGAACTCCGCTCTCGTGACCGCGCGACTGCCAGGCCGCACGACTGCCATGGGCCAAAGTGCTCTTGCGAAAGGAGCAGTTTTGGACGGAGCGGCGGAACGCGTGGCTTCCCGGCGGCAGAAGGATGAAGAAGTCGGCGGCATATTTTTGGGATCGTATCGTACTCGTCGTTATCACCAGCAGCAGTGGATATAGACCAGGATGCCGAATATAGTTGCTATAGTAGCTATAGTTGTATACATGGCAGATGCCCAACATATGGCCATGCTCCATCATATCCTGATGGATTGAACATTCAAACTGTATGTAATAAGCCAGGTCTCCAATGTGCCCCAAGGCTTTTGTTGAGACACCTTACTACTTGTACCCCAAATGCAGCAACTCACCCACGCCCAGAGTGCTCGAACTCCTAGAATCATTTTCTTGCGTCAAATACCACGTCAATATCCCACAGGTTCAAGTCAGATGGCACTTGCAACACCAAAGGAAACTAAATGGCACGCCCGGGATTGCACTAGTCATTTGGCCGGTTGTCAGAAGCACCACTAAATGATGGTGGGTCATGGTAGATCAACCAGCGGTCTCAAAGAGTCTGGTCGTTTCAGCTGGTACAAGCTGACCAGTGGTCGATGTGCCAGGCTGCAGCAGTATGGCAAAGTGATCCGTGGAAATCGAGGACGGCTTCAAGTCGCAGAGCAGCTGGAGGAATGTTCCATGGAACTGAAGCGTCTTGTGACCCCGGTGCTTCACTATCGCGTGGTGGAGGGCTTGCTGGTGACCGCCCTGGAGGAGTGGACTTTCTGACTGAAACCGATGAACGATGATCTCTAAGGAAGAAATACTGAACACCACCTGAGATAGATCATGGGGATGGCGGTTCTGCATGCTTAAGGCAGCACACAAGGCATTTGAAAGATATATATAATATATATATATAATATATACAATGATCCTTCTTGGAATTTAGCGTAACAAATTGAGCAACTCGGGTGTTCCCAAAGAATGAAACCCAGTGGATCAACCACGCTGGTTTGCTCCAACTGGAACCTGGGGATGTTCGTTAGGTTTCTGGGACCTGTGGAGTTTGATTCTTTAGTGAATCGCTTTGGATTGACCACTGCATGCGAAACTGGAAGCACTGGCTCAACACACGGAAGCATAGGCCTCTGAAATCATCACACGTCAATAGAAATTAACCAAAACAAGGCATACAATGCAATACTTTTCAATACAAATCAGTTCTATGAGATCAGACACTATCCAGAAAGCGCCACCCTGAAGACCCTAAAGAATCAGACTCAGCTCCAAAGGAGAGGGTTTCCCAGGTAGCTATAATGGCTTTCCTGGAAAACCCTGGAGCTGAAAGATTTCCCTATATGCAGATGTTGGGACATTGGGGGGTATGGTTTTAATTTTTTAGTGAGATTAATGGAGTGGATTTGGCAAGTTTCTGATATTTTTGATGGGGCCGGGACTGTTATTTTCCTGACCTGCTGGATATCCGAACCAAATCCTAAGCATTTCAAGACAGTAACACTTAACAAAAATCAATAGCGGATATAGTTGGCTGTGTTCGCCAAAACACACGTAAAATAACGTTCTTTGGAAAGGAAAAAGGAACGACAGTTCGACTCGAACCTGGACGGTCAGATTCTTTAGTTTCATGATGGTGTCATGTCTATTTCTTTGAGGTTGACAGGTTTGATTCTTTAGTGTTTGTATTTTAACATTCATTTCTTATAGAGGTTTTTTTTGTCTCTCATTGATGCTGATTCTTTAGAGAGCGACAGGTTGGCACAGGGTGGGATCTCTTCAAACATGAGGACCATGTCGAATTCACAGTGACACAGTGACATAGAATGCAATGATACGGTCCAAAAAACATGTTGATGTGATGCCTTTCATGATTTATGATATTGATTTGTAGAATATCTTTCAACATCTTCGACAGGATTTGATGTCGAAGGAAGGTGCTGCTAAGCAACTGCGTTGTTTTAGAGTGACAAACATGTGACTTGGAATCGTCTGAGTCTTGAAGTTGGTTCAGTTTGAGAGACCGCCGTTCAACATGTTTTTGAAATCACGCAACTTGGTCATTAAGGCTATCTACGTGAGTCCAGTCCAATGACTATATGCCCGTACCTCATAACGCACTCTAGATTCTCTAGATTTGGACCCAACACTGATGATGGGGAAATGTCAACTTGCAGGAAGCCTGCGAGCTAGAGCTCCACTTATCTGACTTTCTCGAGGGCCCTGGCCGTCCACTCTGCTTGGAGCTCCTCGCTGCCTGCGAGCGCTTGAAGCATGAGCCGGAAAAGCAGGTGGAGAGCTGAGAGACTCCGTGGTCGGTTTCTGGTGTGGTGTTGAATCAGGAACGCGGTTCACCCACAAATATATAGGTAGGATTGGATAGGAAAGCAGGACAAAACAAACAAACTGGCGGCAAGGTCCTTCATCGATGTTGAGGCATTGCTTTTGCGTATTATATAATGTTTTCTTGGTTTGCCACTCTTCTTTTTCAGAGCCCTTTTTCAATGAGCACATGAATGATGATGAATCCATGAACCTCAAAAGTCAATGGCTCAAGTTCTGGGCCCCACATGAAGTACGAAGTACCAAGCTTGTCATGAAGTAGCTGGGTACCGAACACCTTTTCCGAGACGTGAATCCTCCAGGCCCAGATGATGCAGGAGGAGTTGGACGGTCGCCTGCGCGAGGCGCAGGACGTGGCGCTGAAGGAGCGGGAAGTTGGCCGGTGAAAAGCGACAAACAAAGCCATGACATGGATTTGGATTTGAGTAGCGATTGATTTTTTTTATTTTGATTCATAGAATTTATGATATATTAGTATAAATAGAATATATAAATATATATATATATATTATATATTTAGATTGGACAACAACTCGCAAGATGTATGCGAAGGCATTTGTGTGATACATTATGCGTGGCGGAGGCTCGCGAAGCCTCTGGTGTAGGCTCTTGGACTTTACACAGGAAGCCAATTCGCGAAGGCTAACTTAGAGTGTATGAAAGGTTGCGAGACCAATTTGCGAAGCCTCTGGTGTTGCACGAAGCCTCGCAAAGCCACCCTTCCCACAAGTTCTGACCCTGCGAAACCCCAAGCCTAGGCAACTCAGCAGTGTATATAGGATAGGCACTTTACCGTTGAAACAAAAATAGTGACAGTGGTTGTATATTTTCTATTTCCTGGTCATCTACTGTAGGCACTTTACCTAAAAAACAAATGCTCATTCGTTGATTTGAATGTCCTCACCTGAGGTCAACCGGTTTGAGCCTGTTTCTGTTCTTGAGGAACAAGAACAGCAGCTGCGACAGCAAGCGCGAACCATCATTGATATGGATGGCCTTCGAATTGCCTTGGAGTATGGGCAGAAGTGTCGGAAGGCCAGCATGTGCAGATGTTGTGCATACTGCGCAAGCGGACTTCAGGAGCAATGATGGAAGGAATATTGACACATGGGCTTTTGAGTGGCCTTATCATCTCTCACCAACTCCAATGCCTTGGCTTTTTTCAGGAACTCAGAACTCACTATTCTCTCGAATCCCCGATGTGTTTTAAATTTGTCCGCACGTCCTAGCGCGACTTGGCTATGCTTTGTTTTCCTGATCGTTTGTTCATTTCTTCGCTAGGATGGGCTTGTGGAGTATCACAGAGGCAATTGGGATGAAGCCTTACACAGCTGGAGGCGGCGTCGTGGGGCAGCGCCATGTGGCATACCGATCGCCTGATGGGCACGGATTCTGCCATGGCTGAATCATGATGAAGGGAAGATCCATTCCTGGAACTTGTTGGTAGATATCTCCATGTATGAACACTTTATACTGTATAATCTGTATATAGAAGGTGGAAGATTTGCAGCTGACAAACGTTTTCCACGTTTCGCCTACACAAAACCCAACATGCAAATGCATCTCTTTGGGCCGTTCTTTGATTGAAATTCAATCGCATCTCTTCAGGTTCTGTTCTCCGGTTTGTTCTCTGAGAATCGGTCTGGACCGTTGCCAACCCACGAAAGGAACACCGGTCGACACCTCGCGTCACGCGCTGGGGGGTGTCGGCCGAACGACGAAAAAACCAACCATTCCCAAGCACTTCGAGCCCAAAGATCTGCGGGATGTCAGGCAAGGTGACTTGGCCTTGCGGCGCTTTCGGGCTCCCTTGCGGTGCGAGGTGGGGAAGAGAGAGCGGGACGACCGGGTTAGCGGAGGACCTCAACAATTTGTTGTTGAGGCCACTTGGGGGGAAGGATGTGGTTGGCTGTAATCGGCTAGTGTCTATAGATAGTCACTGTCTCAAGCATTGAATCCTCCACTGATGAGGATTGACGCTCCAGTAGTTGAGATATGACATTCCAAAATATCAGTTTTCTATGCATAATTGATCATGGTTGCGCAGCATACGGATTCAGTGAATGGTTTGGATCTTAGACCTCCAGGTGGAGAACGGGATGCTCCGCGAGCTGCATGGCTCAGTCTTGAGGAATCTCTCGCAGGCGGAGAGCCAGCAGAGCGCATGAAGAAAGCGAGGGGGTGGGACGACCGGACGATAGGGCTTCCAGCAGCAGTTTGCCCCCAAACAAGTCATTTTTTGGCACCATGTTTCATGATGTCCACTGTGGCTTGGGTTGAACCGTACTACTAGGAGCACGTTGACTGGTGGATGTCAATGATCACGATTTTGGCAGGTTACAGGAAAGCGGAGAGTAAGTAACCATGCGTCCAAAGAGGGTTTGTTGGAAGGGTGACCTTATCCACGCACGTCGGACCATTCAACCACCGCTTGAACTCATCGGATGGACCCGGACCGCAGGACTCGGAATGGAGAGATCATGGTCAGAGTGAAGATCCAACGGATTAGGGCGCCGGCCCAGTCTAGTTGAAGAGCGGTTTTTTTTGGGGTGATCCTCCCCGAGACCAAGGAACCAGACCGTAGACCTAATTACTGGACTGGGGAAATCGAAAGGACAGGAATGGAATCATTTGATATTTGGTGGAAAAGCATGGGCGATGCAATGCTGCAATCTATGAAGCAAATCAACAAAGATGCCGGTTGCGTCAAGCATGGGCTCCCGCTTAAGTTAGAACTTGGTTTCATCTTCTCGTGTTTGGATGCATTTCTTACATTGACATGACAAAGAGTGAGCTCTTGGAGTTGAAAGGCCTTGATCCTCCAGGTGTTTTGTCTACATCAAGTTTTAAAGAAGAACTAGTTGGACCATCCTTTTCAACAGAACTTTGGTTCTTTTCTGCAAGAAGTTGTTCCATGCATTCGCCTAAAGAAATTGTAGATGATCTTGAGCAATTTGGAGAAGGTTTCTCAAGTCTTCATGCCATTCGATATTGAGCGACAGCGACAAGATTGAAGAGCAATGGACGGGAGACATTCGGTCCAACAGAACTTTTAGCTTTAGCAATCGAACACGGGTCCCGATTGAACACCAGGCTTTCGCGTTCCACGTGTCGATCGACGTGTCGACACGTGAGTTTCGTTACCTTGGTGAAGACACCGCGTTCAACGTGTCGTTCGATTCACACCCATTTCTGTGCTCCATGGACCAACGTAGTGCCATGATTGGCACATATTGGCACTAAGCTCAGATGCGAATCGTGAATGACAGATCGTGCGTTCGCAAGGCGGCGCTGCGTGCGGGATGCTACCAGGAAGCCTTGGACGCCTCCGAGCGCGCCATCGCGTTGCAGGGTGGCCGCTCGGCGGTGGCACCGAGATCTCACCGTGACCAGCGAATGGTCTGGGTTGAAATGAACGGTTTCTTAGAGGTCTTTCTGTAAAATGTCCTGTTAACCCTTTTACTCTGGCCACCGGGTATGTTTGCTCAAGATCATTTTGTTGATGCGGTATGATGCAGTGCTTGGAATTCTGATCCCCAATTCCGAGAACATTATCCAGTGCCTTGCCAGTATCGTTTGGTGACCTGACATTTAGGTGCGTCTTTGTTGGGATCCAGGTCCATCATACAAGGAGTCAGCTTGTCGCAAGACTCTCAGGTCGAGGTTTGACCGAAGAGAACGCTCCCTGGGATGTGCCAGCATCTCAGCTGACGCAAGCTGACGTGTGCTCTCTTCCTTCTTGATGCTTCTTCTGGTCTCGGTACTGCCCCATACAGGAACTCTTGCCCGTCTTGGTTCATTCATCCCCATCCGCAGCGACCATCGCTCGGATTTCCCAAATCCGGGCACTGCCCAGGCTTGGTGTTGGCTTGGAAGCAGCTGGCGAAATTGATGTGAAGGCACGACTACATTCTTGTACTAAAACAAGATTCCATTGTATTCCCAAGGAGCGAGGACGAAAAGCTGTGAACACAATGCATTCTCCACCCTGCGCCCCCGTCGGCTCAGTTTCTTTGGATTGTTGTGGTTTCTTGTGCAGAGAGATGCGATTGGCTCAGACGAAATCCTTAGGTAGGCTTGTCTCTAGCCCAATGAACTTCGCTCTAATCCTGGGTACTCATGGCTGTGATGTCCGCGGGATCAACCGAACTTAGATGAGGTCCTTGCCCCCTTGAAGTTTTCAGCCCCCACAGAGACTTCCCCAAGTACCCATTCCGCCAGCTCGGCTGTCAGGCATGGTTCCGGCGACATGTGGCTTTGGAGGCCATGCACAAAGTAAAGGATGAGCTTCAGCTGCCCTTTGTGTTTGGTTGATCAAGGGGTCCACCCCGTGTTTGTTGAGAAGGGAATCTCAAACAGATCAAGCACTTGGGGAGGCAAGGCAATTCAGGAAACCCTAAAAGGGATCGAACAAAAGGGATCTGCACCAGAGCTTGCTTGTGCCCAGGCCTCTTACTTGTAGCAGCGAAGCATACAAAGGAGAAAAAGGAAATCAATTCAATAAGAAACCAGCAAAGAGACAATCAATCAGTCAGTCAATCAATCACTCAGTCAGTCAGTCCGACCGTCAGTCAAGCAAGCAAGCAAGCAGGCAAGCAAACAAGCAAGCAAGCACGCAGGCAGGCAGGCCAGCCAGCCAGCCAGCTAGCTAGCCAGTAAACAAAAAACAAAAAGATGAGACCATCCTTGTTTGGGGAACACATGACCAACTGGACATCGAGGATTGCAGGACAAGCGCAGATCAGCTGGCCGTGTTGTGGCCTTTCTTGAGTGCCAACCAGGCATCTACAACCCAGAGGTGGCGCACGCCCTGACCAAAACTTCAACTGTTCGCTCCATCACAGAAAAAGAAAAGGGGGGAAGCATTGATGTTCAAGAGTGGATGTTCAAGAGCATCCAAACAGCAACCTTCCCGGCTTTGGGTATGATGGTGTCCTAGTCTGCCCTGCAAATGCCTAGCGGAATCTGAAAAGAAACAAACTGTTTGTCGTGTCAATCTAGCCCGGGGACCCGTTGCTGCTGTACTCTGGAAGGCTGGTCTGTCCTCTGCACCTCATCTGAAGCACAAATCCATGGCGCAAGCCGGACAAGAACACCATCATCATACCCAAAGCCACCCTTTTGGATGCTCTTGAACATCTGTACTTCATTGCAATGAAGAGGCATCCGAAACCTTTCGTCGTTTGGTCGCCACGCACAGGCGCTGGGCCAAATGCAAGAGGCCGCCTCATGTCTTCAATACATCGAGGAGGCCATCCAATTCAGCTCTGCAGACCGTTCTATGAGAAGACAGAATGAACATGAAATAATATGTTGTTATATTGTCTTATCTCTGAGCGCTGGACGATGAACTAGAAGAGAAGCATTTGTAGCCAAGTGGCGTTTGCGTTCGATGGGTAAGGGGTAGTTGCTGGGTGTGTGAAGCTGGGCGCGGATGTAAGGCTGCAATGGGCCGGGCAGATGGCGAGCGATTGCGCACCTTGGAGGTCAATGGCAAAGGGTAGAGTGTTGCAGCGGTTTGAGTGACACAAGGAACATGAGAACTGACACTAGCGGGTAACCATGCCAAAAACCCAGCGAACCCTGTTGAACATAGGATATTGAGGTCAGTTTATACCTTGCTCGTTGCCGCGGAACAACTGTTTGTGATTTTTTTTTTTTATGGGGCTGCCTACTTTGCTATTCCAACAGAAAACTTCCGCTGCATGGGTTCTCTTTAAGGGACTGACCTTGGCATCACTCTCTGGCTTGAGAGCTGTAAGTCTCAGGCCTGCAGTAGATAACTCAAATCGGCATGCAATTGTATCAATGTATGAATTGAACCATTTGCGTGGGCAATTGATATGCCGAACATTTGATAGCAATTCCCACCTTCGCCAGCAAGGCCAAGACTGTCAACGCTGCCGAGATAAGTTGCGGCAGCGGCAAAGCCGAGGAAAAGAGGAAGAGCCGGGATGCCCGGTCTGAGGAGGTAGGTCCAACCATGAGGCATTGCTAGGTTTGAAGATGCCTGGTGTTCTAGCTACACTGACCTGGTGTTCTGGCGATTTTGCCGATGGCTCCGTTTCATGGGGCCCATGGCTTGGGAGTACCGGGGCGAGGTGGGACCGCCCCGCCTTTCCTGAAGAGGGTGCATCGGGGGCAGGCCTGCAGGCGCCAGCCTGCAGGCAGTCAACACATGCCAGAGATCTTTAAAGCTCTCAAGCTGGGGGAGTGGCCAGGAATTGGGTTGGACTCTGAGAACCGGATGCGGACTGCATGCCATCTATATAGACATTGATGGCTTTGTACAGATAAAGGGGGGATGATGGATGGTTGCTGGTAGCTTGCAGCTTTTGTCGTAGGTCCTCATATTCAAGATGACAAATGCGCCAACATCCAATTTATAGTCAATGCCATCAATGCAATTCATTGTAGCCTCAGACTCAGAAGCTACAGGAGGGTACTCGTACATACTACATCATACTACTGCGCTACTTGGCGCAGCGCAACAATCCTGCCAGTGCTGCACTCCCTCGCTTCGCCCAGCTTCCAGGCGACGCATGCTACAGCGAAGCCTGAAATCCGGTGTCTTCAGCCAGCAACGAGATGGATGTGAGCAAGCCGGATTTCAGGCCGGTGGTTTTGGGCCTGCTATGGCTATGGTTTTCAAAGAGGAATTGATTCAACCCAGGCCCTTTTATTCTATTTTGGGTCGCAGTCGTTCGTGAGAGTGGAGGGAGGAGATGGCAGGCTGATACTCAAAGTTCAGAGTTTGTTTGTGTGCTTTTTCCGACGAGAGGAATGAATGCATGTCAGAGGGTGGACAAATCGAGCACAGTCAGTGTTTCGTGATACCCTGATTGGGCTGAATTTTCACATCAAAGGTCCCTTTTGGGGAGCTATGTTACCAATATTATAAGAGGTTTCTTCAGTAGGACCTCCTCGCAATGCTGGAGGCACCAAGGACAGAGACGCTCATCCCCGAAAGCTCTGCAGCAGGGTTCCCAGCCAATTCCAAGCTTGGAAACTGGCTTGTTTGCAAGCAGTTCTTGTACCATGCTTTTGAATTACTGTACATCGTCCTAGTCAGGTGACACACACGTACTCAAAGGCAAACATTGAGCTTTCACCATTTTGCCTCAAACGATTCTCAACATGACTAGCCGTTTACAGCGGCAACGTTGCAAACTGGCCCAGTAGCGGTTGCTATGGCCACTCGTTTTCACGTGGAATGTGGTACGTTAGTTGATGCTGGATCTCCTGTGAATGCAGATCCCACGGATGCGACATACTAAAAGCTCCACGTGCAGAGGTTGGAGTGACACAGCCTTTGGGACTTTGGGATCCTTTTGGCGGCCGATCGGATCAAGTGATGCAGTGGGATATCGGATCAAGTGGATAAAGTGGATACATGGACTTGGTGCAGAACCAAGTATATAACATTTGGGTAACATGAGCACAAGCATGCTAAACCAGGCCCATGCAAACATACTGCAAGCCATGCTTAGTCCAGTCTGAGGCCTCTGCTGAACCCAGAGGCAGGCGCACTGTTCCTAGCAACTTACGAAATCTTGTGGTCATGGCCAAAGATTTGCTGGTTTGAAGATGTTTGAAGTACTATATGTTTTACTACGTATATTATATATACACATAATACTATAAATAAGATACATATATTCTTTTATATGTTCGAGTCTTCGAGGTTTTTTGTGGTTCAGGCACGCTATTTTTTGCTCTTATGTCTAGGCGGCAAGAGTCTCACACGTGAGGGAGCGGCTGAAGTCTTGGAGGAGCCCGGTCGGGTCGAACGGTCCCGGTGGACCTGCGGAGCACGTTCGGTCCAAGTTCCACATGTGTAGAGCCTCTAGAGCGTAGATGAGTGTAGAGTAGGAGCATAGACATTCATATGTTTGGAGTGATCAACATTGGTGTAGGCTTACAAACAGATCTTAGTAACTAAAGGGTCCGACATGAGCAGCGCTTCACCCGCGAGGGGATCCAGTTGTTCATTCATTGGTTGTTCAGGTTGCAACAGGCCGTGGCCATTGATCGGCAATGGCCACACAACAAGCTGTATAAATAAGCGACAACAATCGGGAGACTACTGCATGATTCGTCTCAAACAACAGACGACTCGTCGGTATTGGACAAGCCACACAGGCGCCACCATAAAAATCCACACAGGTAGACAAGCCATCAGTGAGCAGGGCAGTCAATCCTGCAGGATTTGCTTCTTGCCTACAGTGATGTCAACTTTGTGCAGCGGGTAGACAAGCTTAGCCAAGCCAAGGGCCTAGACATCAATGGTAGACATTCTGATTGGCTTGTGACTGGCCAGTGCTTTTATGAGTCTTGTGGTGGCATCTTGGTCTATGGGGACCTCATATGGATGTACCTCATAGATATTTGCCTTCTTTGGTTAGGCTGGACTACTATTACTTCTTTTCTTATTGTTTAGCATGAGTGCAAAGTCTATGAGTAGTGACCAGGACCGCTGTGGGAGTGCAGGCATGCCATGTGTGTGCTGATGAAAGAAACTGCTCCAGCTCGGTAGATACCGTACATAGCAATTTTTGATGGCTCATGGGTTGGACCTACCGTGCTACGTCCAGACAGGGTTGGCGTCGTGACGTACTTCTCAGCTGTGACTTTTTATGTTGCGCACTTTCAGGCACCATTGCGAATGACTAGAGCCCTGAAAACCCCCAAAAGCGGTACCAAGGTACGAGATTCTGGGAATGACGCACACACCCTGACTCTTCAACGCCTGAAGAGTCATAATTTTATATTCTCAAAGCTGTTACCACAGCTGCAAACCGTTTAGAGTGTTTTCTTGCCGAGGATGTTCTTTTTGATGCCCGAGAATTTGCTCCTCGCCTTGCACGCTTGAGTTTCGAGGACCGACCTGGAAGGAAGTCATGGCTTGAGCGGGTCACAGAAATCATTGATGTGACCCCAAACTGCTCGGAGGGTCACAGAAGGACACTTGAGCCCTCACTTCACGTCTTCAATCCATGTGGGTCATGTGGATGTGGTCTTTGCATGTCGAACAGAGTTCAACATTCTACAACTAAAGTCAGATTAGCCGAAATCCTTATGCATGTCCTTTCAAGGAGATCGTCCAACCGCTGGTTTCACGGCTGTCACCAAATCGATGGGTAGGTTTGGCAGTTTGCTCCATCTGTTGGTGTCTTTGCTCCATCGGGTCGTGCGAGACACCGAACACCCGCGAGACACCCGCGCTGCCCGCGCCTCTAGGCGCAGGAGCCCATCTTGGCGAAGTGGGGCTTTGAGGCAAAGCGAAGCCGCGAAGCGTGTTTTTTTTGTGAAGAGCGTTCTTCCGAGATCAAAGATGAAGATTTCTTGATGTTCTGATGTTCCCGTGCGATAGCACTACGTAAATTTGTAGGTAATTTATAAGAATTTTCAGAATTGGTGACCGCTTTGATGGATTCTTGTGGACTTGACATTTGCCATGTTGAATGTACCATTATCATCCATTATCAATCATTTAGACAGGGAGTGCTGCGGCAAGTGTGCGAGCTAACTTCCCATGAGTGACAACATCAATTTTGTAGGGGGTCCCTCCAAGTTTCCCTCAAAACCAAAGTGTCGGTTCAGCCAGGCATCCATCGCCGGTGCACAAGAGTTGAGGCAAGCCATCAAGGCTGGATGAGAATGCATCGTTGCACGCTTTGTATATAGATTGTTTTTGTTTAGCTTGGAGGGGTATTTCCACGTCAGTTTTTGTCGATGTGGTGTGGCGTTTCTCCAAAATGGCTGCCAGGAGCAGACAGCCCGAGATGCAGATCTCAAAGAGCTCTCCGACAAGGTGGGTTTCAGAAAGTCCTCTCAGGTTGTTGAAGTGCGTGAGAAACAGCAACGGACTCGTTCTGTTCGATGAGAGATTCGGCTGCGAAGGAGAAGGAATCATGATGCACCATGAGACTATGTTATTCTGTGGCATCGTGTTCTGAAATCTCATCCCATCGCAAATTCCATGCGAAGAACAATCACATTTGCTGAGGTGAGCAGAGCTTTGTATGGAAGCTGCGGCCTCAAGCTGGTCTGTGTAGAGATTGCTTAGCAAATCCTGCATGTCATAGCCTGGAAAAGCACAAGGTGGAAGGATACAAGGACGTTTTCCACCTTCCTTCGGGCAGACCGATGAACCGCTGTCCTTTTTCGAGGTCCAGATCTGCTGATGTACGAGCGAGTGAGGCTGTTGCTGGATGCCGATCCCCAAAAAGATGTGGAGAGAGGGAGAAATAGAGGGAGATGGCTGGCGAACCCGAGTGTGTGGAACCCAAGAGGAACCAGCGTGATGGTAGTGCGGATCAAAGGGTGATCTTGAAATGTTTGTACTAAACCACAAGACACTTAAACATGTATATAATGTCCTTTGCACAATTGTGAGTTATACTTTTTTGTTAATTTTGTTTTGGACAGGAGTTTGTGGTTCTATCGTTTGTTTTGGTTATTTTTTGGTTCATTATTCTATGGTAGATGTTGCCGGTGTGCTTTTTGTGTTTCCAAAGCGTGAAGTGACGGCAACATGGAGGAACCCAAGCTGATGGCCCCCTAGATGCTGCAGTGAGCATCAAAGCTGGTAGAACACCCATGGTGAGTCCCATGGTGAAAGGAATTCAATTGTTCAACCTTGTCAGCAGTTTACTGGAACTGACATTGGCTGAGCAGCTGTTTTGCTGAAACATGCTGATATAGTCCAGTTCCCCAAAAAGACATTGAAATCTGGGCGACCGACCGGACCGACCGACTGCTTTTTGGCTGATGTTTGGACTCTTGTTTTATACAAGATGGCCAAGTTTAGCCGCACAGAGTCGTAATCCTTCCAACGGCATGCAGTCCTTGGAATGCAAGCTACCAGCGTCTAAGAACAGATCCTACTTTCAAGCCAGAGCAAAGCCAGGATCAACAGAAATCATTTTATCCAAATCAGCAGATGGCCTAATGGCGTAGACATTTGCCTGCCTCCCAGACGGTCAATCGAAGGATCAATCCGGACAAGTGAGTTTGCTCACAAAAACAGATCATCCCTGTTGAAATTGACCAACTTGTATGGCATATCAGAATATATCAGAATATATATACATATCATAATCCAAAGACTGTTATCTTACACTACCTACGCCCACCTTTCGTACAGTGACGGTTATTTGCTCTTTCTTTGCGTTGATACGAGTGTCTAAAGTGGCTCTTCTTTTGTATATTTTCTTCCTGTGACAATGCATTAATTTTCAACAACCATTGAATAGAATTTCCTTTTCCATATCGATCCAAGTCATGCAGTGTGGTCGTCGCAAATCAGTCATGCGCACCCATCTAAGGCGGATCATGTTTTGCTGCTTAGGTTCTGACAGGGAGGAGAGAGCTGGGGGTTGCACATCGTCCAGCTGCAGCAAGCTGCTTCATGTGATTGACATGTTTGCTGGGTTGTTGCGGTCCAAGTGAAGCTCCTCTTACCAAGCAGTAACTTGATGTATGTTTGGAATTGTCTGGAAGCAAAGAACTTGAACGAGTGTTTCTCTATTTCGTGATCATTCAGACTCTATGGCAACATATGAATATGACAGACTCCGTTTGAGAAAAGGTTGAAACGGCAAAGGAGATCGTGTAAAGAGTGCACCGCTGCACCGCTGTGGGCGAGCAATGAGAGACATGAGAGTGTAGGGGTTTGGGTCTGTGAGGAGATTCTCGATGAGTGTCACCGTGAGAGTCATGGCCCCGCTGGGTCTTTGAATGGCCAGAACCCTGTGCAAGATCCCTAAAAAGATCCCTGAAGCCAACAGTTTTCAGCATAGACATGTGCAGTTTCAGTTCGGCGTGCAAGTCTTTTCCCACAACATGTCGTTTTAGCATTAGGATTATTCAGTCGCCTCTTTCCACCACATCAAGGACAACATTAACATAGTTCTGAACCAATACAGATCGGATAGAGAGGAAAAATGGGTTCACTTTGATCCACTCACGTGTTTTCCATAATATGTGTCTGACTGTGTCAATCTCATGGCCCATTCAGAACAATGGCAAATCCGGATCAACGAAGGCGTCCGAAGGCGACGCCTTATCTTCTCGCCTTCTCAGGAGGATGCTGTCTTTGTTGATGCCACCAGCGTTCTTGCTGCCGGGGCCTTGGCTGCTGGTGACTCTCGGTGAGTGCACCCGGGAGTGAAATCTGGATGGATGATCCGATCGATGGATCAGTGTCGTGCCATACCTGACGTTTTTGTTTTTCAGCAACGGACCAATGGATGATTCAGATATTTCCTTCCGAACATCTCAAGACCATGGAAGAAATTGTTTGCTCATCAGAATCCAACATGCTTCATGCAAAGATGTCGGAGAAAGTTGCACAGTCGCATGGCATCGAAGCAGTTGCGGGAGCCTTCAATCGTGAAAGAGTCCTGCCCATGTGTTCACCCAAAAGTGCCGCACATTTGCTTCAATAGTCACTTTCTATTGGGTGGACAAATGGTGAAGCTTTGTCCACCCAAAAACCTTAGTTTCAGTGACACTAACTAAGTATTCAATCTTCACTTTCAGACTTCTGCCAAATTCTGAAACCACACGACCACCTCATCAAACGAAACGACACGTCTCAGGAGGGCACTGAGCTCCAAGACGGCACGGAAGCCCGAGATGGGGAGCCGGCGAGAGCGCCGCCAAAGGAGCGGGTGTTGAAGCTGTTGGCCTCCCCCAAGCCATGGCTTTTCAGATCTTTTAGATGGTTGATGTTGGATGATGTTAATGTTGAAACTGCAAGTTTGCCACAGATCTTCCGAAGAAAGGCCAGAACGCCAGCCGAAATGAGCCTAAGCCATGCCCAGATACCAAAATCATGAGATGCCGCCATGGATGGACATTTGATGGATCAAATCAATCACTGAAGGCTTCTCCACGGCTCGATGGATCGAGGATTGGCCCAATCGATGGCTGAGAGAAAGGGAAGCACTGATGTAACATCATCCCCAGCAGGTACTGTACCTGCAACATTCTACAACCAGAATAGTGCCATGACCTTCCAATGACGGGCCTGGTTCTACCGTTTTCCGGGGTGGAAACGATAGCCCGTGTGAGCTGAGCTCCAGTGGTCCCCCTTGGGCCCGTTGGCGCGATGTCGAAGCAGACGGACCCAACACTTATAACAGTATAAACACTTGGTTTCAATCTCAAATAACAATACGGACTATACGCCTACGGTATAATATCCTCCGGTCCAGGTGAGCAAGGCATGGTTGGATACAAACGTTGATTTCACCAAACCTCATGAAGGTGTCCCACCTTTCCTTTGGGTTCGCTGTCCACCATGCCCCCAATGCGGTTTGGGGCCGAGTGGAGTTTCCACACCCCGCTGTTTCCCTCAGGTTCCTCATACAAAGGCCAATGGCAGGGTACTCTGCCGCACGGATATGGCGTGCAGGCGCGGTGGCGCCATTGGCGCCAGTGCTTCACTGTTCGTTGGTTGGACGACGTGGTGCTTGGCGGTTTCAAATGAGACCTGTCCCATTCCGGAATTCACTTGTAGCCTGAAGCTGAAACTGCTGCGTGAAGGTTTGGAAGGATGGTTCCAAGTATACCGGCAATTGGAAAGCTGGACAATTCAACGGCAACGGAAGGCATGGAGATGTCGGGCTTTTGCCAGGGATTTGATGTGAGGAGTCAGGAGTTGATTGTATTCCTTGGCATCGGGCCTTGGATTTTCTCAAGTTGACTCAGAGCTCAATCAATCTGAGAACCATTGCATATACCTCATACCTCCTGTCCTTTCACAACTTTCACACCTGGACTGGTCATGACTCAGTGGTGATCAGACCCGTTGCCTTAATCACTCGAGTCACGAGAACCAGACCAGGAGTTGTAGCACGTTGAGCCGCTGAGGTATCACCTTCTACGAGAGCGACAAGGTAGTTCGGGTCTCAACACCAACAAGATTCAAACAAGGACCAAGGATTCACCCTCCACATTGCCAATATGGCCACTCCAATCGACCCAAAACCGAGGCTTGAAAACGACCAAGCGTTTTTGGAAAAACGGTGCAGGTTTGAACATAGCAACGGTGACATTTACGAGGGCGACTTTCTGAATGGAGCTGCCCATGGCCAAGGCCTTCAGGGTCGAACTTCGGTCGCACGTTCCATGCCGTCGAGTCAGAGAGTCCGGGGGAACCCTTCTTCCGTGCGAGTCAGTGAACCAAGGGCGTCTTAGGTCTTCTTCCGTACGGAAAATTGATGCATGGGGATGCACAGGTCTGCAGGCTGCAGGCTGCTGCTTTCGAATGCTTTAAGATCCAGATGTAGTTTGGAGATAGATACCGCGTGTTTGGTGGGTGGCTTTAGAACCCCTGATCAAAGGGAGGTGTCAGGGTTGAACTATGAACTTATACTTGTGCAAGGTAAGATGCATACTTTTGGCTGTTCACAGCAATAGCTAGTAAACCTTTGCCATTATGATGTTGATTCAGGTCCTACCAACCATGGTTTGATGCTACTGGGAGTCTTGAAGGCAATGTTTGGCCCGAACGAAGGGCGACCTTCGTAGTGAGACCTAGACATACTCCGTGCGATGGCATATGTCGAAGAGCTGGCTCATGGACCTTATAACTTCGAAGTCAGGGTCCGAGCGATCAGTGGACAGACTTTCCACTACTACATGGATAAGTTTGCCATGATCGGTGACGTGAAGCAGAGGCTGAGTAAGGAGTTGGGACGGAAGTTCCACGAGATGAAATTGGTCTCCAGTTCCACTAGTCCGGAGCCTGACATGTTTGAAAAAGTCAGCAGCTTCAGGACCCGTGGAGGCATTGTGGACTTGGCCCTGGTGATCAACCGCACGTGCAGGTGGTGCAACCTGCAGCTGATGGATCCCCCGCCGAATCCGAAGAATCCACCCTTGTATCACACCGAGATCGGCGACTTCTGTGGGAAAGCCTGCTATGCCATCATGCAGCGAGAGCTCCAAGATCCATGGAATACCTTCTATGTCTTTGGCGTCAGTTCTGAGCAAGAGCAGCTTCACCTTCCGTATCCATATGTCGACCCCGACCGGCGGCCAGGCTACTGAGTGGAGTGAAAAAAAGAAGCGGCCAGACGATTTGAAGTCATGGAAGATATGAATTGGCCATGCTAGAATTCTGCAGTAACGTTCACCATAACCCATCCACCAGGTGTCCAAGCCACGGCATGCCATGAAAGATGGCGCACCACCCTCCAACCAAACCGATTCCCTTCGGACTAAAACCGCAGCACACGTCACGTGTAGCTGTGACCCGAAGGATACCGAAGATATCCAGAGATAATCCCTGAACTGTCAGCATTTTGGCCTAGAAAGGAGCCAAATGGTCCGGATTGAGAATCTGGAACCCCCTTTCCGTACCTTGGAAGGAGCTGACGTGTCAGACGTTTTCATCCCAAAATTCGCCAAAAGCCCATGGCCGACGATGTCGCCAGGTACATACACGCAGGCCTCTGGAGCCAAGTATACCGGCCAATGGCACAAGGACATTGATGTGAATTCATGAATCAGTGTGTTCCGCAGAGCTCAAAGAATAAACATCTATTTTTCTCTAAGAGGAAGGCATAGTTTGCGCTTGCGCCTTTGTGAAGACAGATGGGAACTGTATTGTGTAATGTAGACTCTTGATTAATAAACCTCCCCTTTGAAGAGGATGTTCAATTCAAATGGGGTGGTGTATGGTCCTCAAGAGTCTACATTATCATACATTATCCAGTGTCCGGTGGGCCCAACTGGTGGTTCTTCCAACACGTCGACCTTGGTCGAAAGAGAACGGATGGGCCCGAGAGGAACGTCTTCTGTCGTCGTAACGGTGCGTTAGTACGTGCATAGCGTGATGGTCGTCGTTTGGATGAAACAGGATTAAACCATGTTCTATGTCCTAAACACGTTTACCTATGAGGTGAGGGTCCTTACTCCTGAGAATAGGGTGCCTTTGTTGGTGTTCTACGGTTTTCTCCGCTTGATCTCCGGCTGCCTCCGCGGTTTGCTGGATTGCTTGGGTCGTCGCGGTCTCTGCGGTCTCTCCAGTTCCTTCGGCTGTCTATGGCTGTCTAGCTCAACAAACTAGCTAAACATGTTGATGCGTGCTAAAAAGGCCGATTCTCTTCCTGCTTGGGGTCCACACTGGAATGACTTTCAAAGCTTGTCAGGTTTGGTGATACCCCGGAAGCCCTTCCCTGTCACAGCCACCATTCGTGTCATCAGTGTCAAGGCCAGATGAAGTTGCCAAGTTCCCATAAGCTTTGCACGATGGGAGAATGGAGCACGTAAAATGGCTGCAGGATCAGAAGCATGGAGAAGGATCGGAAGAATGGCCTGATGGCACCAGGAGCGGATATGTATATGGAGCCTAGAATCCGGGAAGCTAGACAGAGCCTTTGAGGGCTTGGAAGATATACCCCCCAGGCCCCCATGGGCCCTATGTTGTTTAGATGTTCAGGTCATCAATACATGAAAGGGCCCGATGTCATATTTTTGCGCAGTGGCTCAGCCTTCTTCGTCCTTAGCTGTCGACTGATGGAGGTCAATTGAAGGTAATGAATGCCGTGGCTAAATTAAGGTACTGTTGCCTGTGCAATCAAATCACAGACCTCAAAAATGCATCGCAACATATCACCGGATGTATACTTCAGAGGGAGGGACTTCTTGTGTTTGCTTGCTATTTTGCTGGGTGGGTTGCCAGCCATGCTGATGTTTTTTGCGTTTCTTGGGTTTACTTGCAGGTACGAAGGCCAATACATGAACGGTGACAAGACCGGTTTGGGCAAGTTGACCTGGTCTGATGGGTTCAGCACTTGGCTTTCGTAATCTCAAAACAAATTTGATGTGTTCAGCCTGTAGCAGCACTGCGTAAACATCCCAATGTCCCCACGAGTTCAGCGTTCTTTTCTGAGGTCATACTACGAAGGTGAATTTAAGAGCCGACACATCGATGGAAAAGGCCACAGCTTGCGTGGGTGAAGGGACTCTTACTGGTCTGGCAGTGGAGTAGCAGAGTTGAAGATTAAATCCTGTCCATCTCAGAGGACGAGGATACTCATTTGGTAGCGGCAGATACAATGCTAGGTCATTTTGCACAAACATATGGGGCATTTGAGCTGTATTGGATGCCAGAAGGGCATAGACAGATGCATTGGAGGACTGGATTATGATAAATTATGGGTATATACATATATCCCTTGTATAACTTTCAGTGAAAATCCTTCATTTTGGTGGGCATACTTGGATATGCAGCACTTTGCATCATCGACTTGGCACTATTTGCATCATCACTTCCTCATATTGATCTGCATGTTGCATACTGATTTCTTCCGATCGGAGCGGCTTTTTCTCGGTGCGCCAGGCAAGTACTGCTGGGCCGATGGGCGTTACTTCGAGGGAGAGCAGCGATCTGAGAGGGCGGGCCATACACAGTGTGGATGTGACTGTGGAAGCAGATGTTGGAAGTAACAGCGAATGAGCTTTACAATTTAAGTGGAAAGGACAATGAGAGAGAGAGAGAGGAAGAGAGGAATAAAGCACATGCCAGCAGTCACACAAATCAAACGTGACTGCAAGTCATGCTTGACATGTGTTATTTTTGTCCTTATTGTTCTGTCTTTTGCGTTAACTTATGTCTATATGATGGTCGTGTTAAATAAGGCCTGCTGCCACAGATAGATCAGATAGCTGGCTGCTGGCAACTTTAACTCATGAAACCTTTCAACCACTTTCAATCGTCGGGAACGCGGGCGGGAAGTAGACGCAGGCCGCTCATTCAGTCGGTGGACAGGGTGAATTCAGGGCGTCCGCGTCCTGGTCAAGTCGAAGCCACCGGTCCAGGTGGCTACTTGATCAGATCCACGGCAAAGGCAAGCTGCGGAATTGGAAAAGACCCATGAGAGACTGATGTCTAGAATCCATGAGGAGTGAAACCATTTGCACATTGAACAATAGAGAATATCTAAGAAACTGACTGGCCATTAGCTTCGATGGACACTGACTGATCGTATTGCAGACTTTGGCAAGAAATTTGAGCTTCCTGGATGTCGAGGTCAGTTTAACTGGCCAGATGGTCGTATCTATGTTGGAGAGCCAGATGCCGAGTTGGAAGGCATCCTGAGTTTGATTGCCCCATCCTACCGATTGTGTCATTAATTTTCGACTTTTCGGAAAACCATCAGGTTGCAGCAAAAGGACGCATGTTTGTGGCAGGTGTAGTCCATACCCTTTACTCAGCAACCTTATATGTTACATGACAATAAGGACTCACGGGAAACATCCGAGATGGACGTTGAACTGGGCTCAGTCGCTCTACCCGCCCAGGTATAGCTTCGACAAGAAGCACGGTTCCGGCACTTTCCAATGGCCAGATGGGCGGAGGCGAGGCATGCGGCACCGGCCGAGCACCAGGGCAAAACAGCGAAGTCGCCAAAGGGAGAGATCAGGACACTGAAACAACCTTGCTCCTAGTAACGTCCTTGCTCCGTTCGTAGCGATGCCCTTTGTTCCTAGTAGCTTCTCGCTCCTAGTAGTAAGGCCAGGAGCTACTAGTAGCTTCTTACTCCTAGTAGCTATTTGCTCCTAGTAGCGATGCCCGGGTTCCTAGTAGCGACGCCAGGAGATACTAGTAGCTTCTTGTTCCTAGTAGCGATGCCAGGAGCCCCTAGTAGCTTCTTGTTACTACTAGTAAGGCACTTGTTACTAGAAGCGATGCACTTGTTACTAGTAGCTTCTTGTTCCTAGTACTGACTCCTGCAAAGTCGCACAACATTCTCCATTTGAGTCCTTTTAATAGTTGTCATGCGGTGGAGAGTATCTGAACCATGCCGTAGCCGACTCGTTTGCAAGAACAGCTTAGCTTCAGGTATGAAGGAGAATGGGCTTATGGTCTACAGCATGGTAAAGGCTGCCTTTCGAAGCCTGACGGCCAGGAGCCCAACATTTAGGTGAGATGGATCTAGAAATTGTGATCCGCAAGAATTCGGTCCTGTCCGTTCGCCGAATCCGATGACGCCAAGCCCGAGGCTCCCGAGAAGATGGTGCCTGGAGTGAAGGGAAGTTTCAAGGTGAAGCACGCACGGTGTCCAAGAAGCTACTAGCGAGCAGCTAGGCAGCCTGTCCAGTGTCCAGGGCAGAAAGACGTCGTTTGGGGAAAAGCTACATGAAAGCAACAGCTCCAGGAGATCCAGGAGATTCCCCGTGGTGGTTCTCTTCGTTTAGACATGGGCGGTACGGTGGTACATTTGGTTCGCATGCAAGCTTTCAACACTAACACACAGAAATCACCCGTCACAATCACGATTTCACAACACTGATTGATGGACAACGCAAGAGGTAGCAGATGGTTTACAGATTGATCCATAGTTTTTTCTACCTGTGTTATTCACCTAATGTATTTCAGCAATTTCCTGAGTTGGTGATCCATGCATTCGCACATAGCAAAGTATGATACAAATGATTTAAAATGTGCAACTTTGTATGAAACACTTGAGACCCTTCGCAGCTTGTCCCCTTGCCGAGCTGTGAAAGTCATTTATGCACAATGCATAAGCTGTGAAAGGATAGAATTAGATCCAGGGTCCAGAGATTCAACATGTAGCTTTGCCCACTCAATTGGTATTTCAATGCAACTCTTTTCATGGAGGCTGCACGCATGGCCAAGCCAAGTGCGTGGCACCCCCATCCTCACAGGGTTGGTGGGGAGTCAACCATGGTGGCGAGTGAACAGCGATGGTAGGGGTGTCCAGAGTAAGGCATGTCATAGCGATTTCTCACCAAAGCTAGAATTCTGCTATGCTGTGAATGTTTCTTTCAACATGGAGTACAGTATGCATATGTGTAAGCATTTGACACTTTGTGAGCACTATTCAAATTTGTTGCAAGTCCAATGTTGCCATAGCCAGTTTTGTGACTCGCCAGCCCTACAGTTTGTCACTACGACCTTGCATCAGAACCAGGTTCTTTTTGGTTTCAGCCGGGAGGTTGTCTGACAATGCCTGACACATTTGTTTGCATTTGTCGCAGTGTGTTGGATTATATTGTGCAGGGCTGGTTTGCACCAAGAAGCAGAGCGAGTCTTGCCAATCTCCCATTTGGAGGGGCAACAAGAAGCCCTGCGACTCTCATCCATGTCTCGCTGTTAGTTCAGACCGTGCGAGAGAGTGCTAAAAGTTTGCAGCTGTTTGCACTGGTCCTTGCGCACAGGCACCTTCATTAACCTTCGGTTCATGAACCCAAAAGATCCAGTGAAAAGGTGAAACAAGGGCATCGCTACTAGTTACTAGGAGCAAGGACGCTACAAGGGGCTCCTGGCCTTACTACTAGGAACAAGAAGCTACTAGTAACAAAGATATTTTCGAACACGCTTCCCAAAGGTAGCTCCAGCACCGTGTGGAGGCCACTAGGCCTAGCCGCTATTGGCAGCTGTCATCCAGATGGCACAAAACTGAGGGCGTGTAGTTCATTTCTAGAGTTCATTATACTTCGTACTCCACACGTCAACGATCAAAATCGCAGTACTGTAACTGTATTGTCAAAGGAAGTTTAGTGTGCAAAACTTCCGTGTTACGGACATTCAACAGCTGTTCAACCACCACTCATCATACACCACTCATCATACACCACTCATCATACACCA